CTTTAATATAAGTTTAAAACAACAGCAAATGTACAACGTTTCGATGATGACAAAACCTTGTCGAAACGTTGTACATTTGCTGTTGTTTTAAACTTATATTAAAGTTTTTCTTCATTACCCATTCAAGCTGTCTCGAACCATTATTAGTCTCAAAGTGGGTTCCTCGTCATCGAATTCCGTTACGGTGTTTATAGATTCTAACCTGTACATTTTAAGTGCTTAATCAACGTCACAAAATGATTACATAAAAACAAAATCAAATATCGAGCCAAATATAATCAACTGCATATGTCAAAAAATATATATATACCGAAATATTTAAAACAAAATCTGTATGTTTTAACTTTTCGTACTTACGTGACTGGCTTAGACGTGTTTTAAAATTAGTTTATCTTTAAATTTATTATTTCAGGCCCAGATATTGCCAAAACATCGTGGCTGGTACAAGTTAAAGAACTATTTTAAGATTGTTTTGCGAATCGAGTTAAGAGAGTAAAATAAACGATGAGATAATAAGACGTCAAGTTTCTTTTTTCTTTTCCTTAAAGATAAAGAGAACATGTCACTGCTTTAGGAAATCGACGAAGAGTAAGTAGAACGGTGAGCGATAAGGCGACGAAGAACTAAAGTTGTTTATCACCAGTAGTGTTAAGTTTAGCACCAAAAATGTTTTGGCAACTATCATATGGAGCGAAAATGTAGTTAGTTCATAAAATAACCTTTGCTCGTGGAAGAAAGGAGGGGGTTGTAAGAGGACACAAGACGATTTGAGTCTTACGACCTCTCACTTAGGGACATACTACTAGCCTAATGACCTGAATCGTGTTACTGGTATTAAAGAATCGAAGGTCAATGGCTATTTCATACATAGGTTCCAAGCTCAGAAATGTAAATAGCTTATATAAAGATAATATATTAAACGATTTAGAAAAACATACTGTTAAATTTACTTATAAAATGGATAACTAAACTTGTATTTCATTCTTTAAAATGCTAATCTGTTTGTTTTTCTAAGCGCAAAGCTACACAATTGGCTATCTGTGGTGTCTGCACCGTGGGGAATGAAACCCCTACATTTAGCGTTATCAGCTTACCGCTGAGCAACCGGGAGGGACAAACCAAACTGAAGAATGTCAACTTAATTTTTTTAAAGAGAAAATTATCGTGGTTCAAAATGCATCCTTTCTAAGCTGATAGATTAAACAATTGATAAGTTCGCTGAGAGTAGCGAGATCAAGGCATGGTAATATACGAAACGCACTTCGTACTTTCAACTGAGTTATAAAGTAAAACAAATAGCAAGTTTGCCTTTATTAATAAAAGCAATGGTGATTGATTTATTGAAACTGTCTAAAATATGAAAAGTCACTATTGTTATTGATTTTCTGATTCTGTCTTAGGTATACGTTGTTCTTAAAATACGAAAATATTCAATTAAATTTAGATTTATCGCTAGACCTGATAAAACAGTTTTAAAATTACTTGCTATATTTTTTAATCAAAATTTTGATTCACTATTTGGCAAAATTAAACTTCATGCTAACGATTCATCAGCAAAAGTGTTTGGGTTTATTAAAATAGCTCAAGTTTGGAAATGCACACACACATATATATATAATGAATCTGGCTTGACTTGTATTGTTAATTTTCTACTCCATTTAAATACTTGTAATTTAATCAAGGGGCCTTATGATCATTTGATACTTGTGTGGACACCAATCCTGTTATTTTCAAACACATAATTATATATTAGAAGAGTGTCAAAGTATGATACCCCCCCCCCCCCAGTGGCACAGCAGTAAGTCTGCAGATTTATAACACTAGAAACCGGATTTTGATACCAGTGATGAGCACACCATAGATAGACCATTGTGGAGCTTTGGGCTTGACTACAGAAATACAAGTATGGTTTTCGGTTTTTTAAACTTTTGTTGCTTTTAATAATACGGAATGAAACTTCATATTAACATTCCTGTGGGTTCCTTTTATTCTCCTTATGTTACTAACGTGTTTATAATTGAATTTAGTCTTGTGTGTTCAATTTCTTGTTAAGCTGTAGAGGGCTATCTCTGCTTATCTAGACTTACGTTGGTTAATCACATTATAAGGACTCCTACTTAATATGGAATTGGACCAGGTTTGGTTTCGAAAATATTCTAGACTCGGCTTGGCCAAGGTTCTATAAAACGCCGGAATATGTCTCGTGCTATTGTAGTCTATTCATCTAGGAATGTGGTCTAATGTCTTGTGCTATTGTAGTCTATTCATCTGGTAATGTGGTCTAATGTCTTGTCCTATTGTAGTAAGACATTAGACCACATTCCTAGATGAATAGACTACAATAGGACAAGACATTAGACCACATTCCCAGATGAATAGACTACAACAGGACAAGACATTAGATCACATTCCTAGATGAATATACTACAATAGCACAAGACATTAGACCACATTCCCAGATGAATATGTGCTATTGTAGTCTATTCATCTAGGAATGTGGTCTAATGTCTTGTCCTATTGTAGTCTATTCATCTAGGAATGTGGTCTAATGTCTTATGCTATTGTAGTCTAGTCATCTGGGAATGTGGTTTAATGTCTTATGCTATTGTAGTTTATTCATCTGGTAATGTGGTCTAATGTCTTGTCCTATTGTAGTATATTCATCTAGGAGTGTGCTCTAATATCTTGTCCTATTGTAGTATATTCATCTGGTAATGTGGTCTAATGTCTTGTCCTATTGTAGTATATTCATCTAGGAGTGTGCTCTAATATCTTGTCCTATTGTAGTATATTCATCTAGGAATGTGGTCTGCAGATAGTTTACAGATATCGTCAAAGGATTATTGTTCTGTATACGACTTTTTAATTCGTTTAAAAACACTGGATCGAATTTTAGAATCAGCGATTATGCTGGCCGAAGATGATGTCTGAAGTCGCCCTCATGTTGTTCTTGATAATAGGAAATTCGAGCATTGTTGATTGTTTCACTGTTGTTTTCAATTAGGCTTTGTTTGTCACTATAAGACAAACCTGGTCCGCAGCAACATTTAGATACGCTGTTGATGTTATTTATTCATCTTAAGGAACAAAAGGCTCCAACACTAGCCACGAAAATGTTCTACACACACACTTTTACACCACCTCCAGTGCATTTTGCATGCATAATCGGAACGACACAATCAGGTTCAAGTCACTCTTGTGGTCTTTTTTCCATGTTTTACTCTGCCATCAGTGCACGAAAAAGAGAAACACGGTTCACCAAAAAATATCAAACGATAACAATCATTCATTGTTCATAGTTTGTGCTTGAAGCCCCACTAAAGCTGTGCTTTCCTATTTACATCTGAGATTGCAGTTTTTGCACTGATCAACTTTCACTTGGCATAGTAAGTATTATTAAAATCTGTCCATTTTTGTAAAAGCGGGTTTATTGGCACACACTTTTGTACTTTACAAGCCTGACTAATTGTTTTTTTCCTTCAGTCAGTCACCAGCGGCAGACAATAGTTTCATTGAATCATTGATAACTGATGTAAGCCTTTTCAAAGTCAGAGAGCTTATTGCTTTTACTCATTAGTTTGAAGGCTAACGATGGTATCACTTCATCTCTAAAGACACAGGGCTCAATTCACATAGAACATTACATGATCAGTCTATTTTACGTGTGGAAGTTAACTGAGGATTTTACCGAGGTTAATCACATTTTATAAGAACGAAGTTCGAGGTGTCATGTTGTTTTCGAATGTTTGCTCCAACACCTTAATGGAGATGATTACTCACTATTATCCAACACTGCAGTGTCCATTGTAACAAGTTTCTTGAAAAGATGGTGAGGCCAATATTAGACTGCATGTCTTAGCAAACTTTTAATGAACCCTCCTCTATATATAGTTGTTGGCTTCCACGTTTGAGTATATCAAAGGCGCAAACGTCAATTGGAACTGCAATGGATGATTTTAGAGTCTGTGGTCGAATGGAATTATTGTGATTCTAGAATCTTTGACTATCATTCTCGTGCAAACAACCTTGTTTTTTGAAGTGTAGCTGGAAGTTTGTGAACCTTTCAAATCATTATTTATTATCTTCCTAAAATTACCAAGAGATATGCCTAGATTCATCACGTTTTTCCTTCAGTCGAAGGGTTCTTTTTCGTAACCATGGGCCAGAGTGTTACTCTGCTGTGTGGAGTTTACAACTTCTATAAATAATGGACTCTATCCTTCGATTCCGCAATACAAATTTCCTTTTTCAGAAAAGCTGTGTAATATTCTTTCAACCGTAAAAGCTATTTGTGACATAATTGCGCTGTTGAAAGGTCGAGAACTCGCCAAGTACTGAATAATACTGTAGATACTAAACAGGTCGTTGTGTGTAGAATTTGTGGTGACACGACACCTACAATGGTTGAACTTCTCTACAAATGTGTGCGGAAAGTTCTTCAAATAGTAACCAGTTGGTGCATCTTGTATTAATCAACAAGTTAAATTGTCTTCGTCGGAATCACTGTAGCAGCATAAAATGTCTAGTTCGCTATGAGTTTAAAAAAACCGTTGCGGATTTGAAAATGGACAAGTTCAATTAAGTTATTTTAACCCTTACAACTGATGTTTTTTGTCGTTTTTTTTCAACAGGAGCTAGTTGGAGCCTTGCTACGATAATTGAAGTGTTTTCTAGATATTAGTTTTAATGTTACAGTACTTATTCTTGTGTATTTTTTATTGAAAAAAATGATTTTTTAACATAATCACTTATGTAGTTATCCAAGAGCCGTAAAGTCTATAGAATTATCGAATTTTCACATACTCGGTCCATCAAAAGAACTCACACAAGGCGTAGGAGTCATCAGCGGAAAGAAGGTCTGGTTCCTGTTCAATTAAGCCAATTTTCCCCCTCCAAATAGCAAGACAACAAAACATACATGCAGGGGAAACAAGATAAAGGCTCCAGACGTATATTTAGAGACCTGAAGAAACATTTCAAAAAGAATAATAAACATGAAACACAAGCTCAGGGAAGTTAACCACCTGTCGTTTCTACATAAGACCTGCCAGAAATTATTACATTCTTGGTTTAAAACTCTTCGTCTGTGTCATACTTGATACACTTTGAGGTCAATGGATGATATATTTGTACTGTAGAACGTCAAGCCTTGAAGATAAACTTAGTTATAAAATTACCTTGTTGCGTTACTTACTGTGCGACTAACTTCAGCCGAAAAAGCTTATATATATATATATATATATATATATAT